TGTACAGCGGCGCTTATGCTGGGCAAAGTCTGCTGCAAAGCCACACTAGGAGTGGAGGGCTCTCCTTGTGTACCTGTATTTGCTTCAGCTAGAACTGTGCTAGAAGATATTTGCTGACTGGTTGGGGTCTGGGAAGCCACGGGGGTTTCTGGAACAGCGATGCTGGAACCGGGCGTGTCCGCCTGAGCTGTTGTGCTTGATCCAGCTACAGGTGAGCCAGGTGTAGGTTGCTGAACAGTCGAGGCAATCGTGGGTAAAGGCTCGTCAGTCGAAACGCCGGCAACTGTCGCGCTGGAACTGGAGGCTTCTTGGACTGTCGCAGACGTAGACTGTGGTAAATTGGTAGGCGTCACAGGGACGATGGTCAAGAGGCCTTCATCTCCTTCGTCGAGGTCTCGAGACCCAAGTGAGATTGCAGCCGCAGGAGATTCATGCGAGGCGTGTGACAATGCACCAGAAGACTCCAGGTCCCTGGGTTTGTGAAGTAAATGAGCGATCGGGCCGGCCGAGCAAGGATAGGCGAAGACATAAAGAACGATGGCAGCGTGGATTAGGTGCATCTTGTAGAATGCGAAGCGATAGACTCGGAAATAAATGTCGATGGAATATGCAAGAGAACGAAACTTTAGCGAAGGGACGGGGTGCGAATTGAAATTAACATGGCTTGCAGATCGGGTCAGAACAGCTATTTACCCATTCTGGCTTGAACGAAAGGTGATGAACAAGCAAGAAAGATTAATGAGAGACAATGGCAAGAAAGGCTCAAAGAAGCAAAGAACAGTGTTTGGAGGGGGGGGACAGCCATCTCTTAAGCCCGGCCATTTTATTCAGGTCTTTGTCCAGCGGGAGATGAGACAATCAAGCCCTGCGTGGAGATGAAGTGGTTGGCTGAAGAAAGACGAGTTGCCGCGCGACAACAAAAAAAAGAATCCATGCATCATGCAGTGTTGCACCACCCCCCCGGCTTGATTGGCAGTCCAGCATCGTCGCATTTGACAGGATCTTGTCGATCATTTTGTTTCGTTGAATAAGATCGGAGCGAATCAAGAGCACAGCCACCAGACCTCAGTACTGACGGAAAACATGGCTTGCGTGAAAAGCCTCACGTTTTACTATGATGAGACACTACAAAAATAGACAAGACAACCCAGGTCTATGGCTCCAGAACAAATCGTCTTCTTCGGCTACTAGCACAGTAACTCGTATAGTGCCTATTGTATTGTTTGACTCCTCTGTCCGCATTCGCACCTTGACATGGCGACAACTCGACATTCAGAACACGGCGATTGTCCTCAATTCAGTGCAACAATAAAAGAGTCACTTATTCCCTCAAAGGCAGTAATTTGGCCGGTCAACGCTTTCGAGTCCCCATAGTAGTGGAATCGGTAAGTCCCAGCCTGCAGCGAATTGGGATTGCCAGTGTTGTAGTAGTCGTCTTCAATCTCCCACTGAAGAGTAACTTGGCTATAGCCTAGCACTGTGCTTGTCCTGACCCAGTTGTAGACAAGATTCCAGTCTGAATCTTTGCGGACCACCACCCAAGAGCCTGTGCTCGGATCAAGTCGCTCCACAGCGGCAAAAGTCGATTCCTGCCGCAGATTATTCCGCGGATTTGCGCCCACGAATGTCACATTGACCGTGTCCCCAGGGTAGTAGGTGGCATTTTCAAGAGACGAGACAACATCCCCGAAGGCTTTTCCCACAGGGGACCCATCATATACCACACCCGTGATAAAGCTTAATGAATTGTCTGTGTTAATCGGAGGCTCCAGACCAGTGGACAGTGATGGGAGACTGGCTGTATTGGGCAAGTCCCCAAGATATGGTAGATATGTCAGGGTCAAGTTCACATATGCAGCCAGCGTGTTCGGGCCGTAGAGAGTAGAAGCCCCCTCGTAACGTTGAACTCCATATTCCTCCTCTGTAGCTACGTAGTGCGCATAGCTATTCGACGGAGCCCCCAAAACAACAAGAGGATTCTCGATAGAAAGCACGTCCTTCGCAGATGTCGCGATAGCTTCCTTCCAGCGCCTGCCAGACATTGTAGTCGCCTCACTAGTAGAAATGACGAGGAACAACTGCCCTACACGCAGGACTTGGATGTCCACGATGTTGGGCGTCCAAGCATACGGCTGCGTGACAGCACCAACGTCAAGCAGAATTTCTTTAGGCGCCTGACAAGCCTGCTGCGCCGCCGACGGCTGGTGGACGAATGCGCGGGCGACGTACCACAAAGGATTGGACTCTGCGGGCCCAGTTCCATTCTGAGTGAAGTCAAAATATCCCGGCCCATCAGTAGTGCCGGCGGCAAATGAGAAACCTAGCGCTGCCGAGCACGTAGTCAAAGTGCTCGAGTTGAAAGGTGACTGAAAGGTGTAGTTCGACATGTCGCGGTAGACATGGAACGAGCGGACCTCGTTAGGCAGAATTTTGGTCGGGTTCGTGTCCAGCTGGCTGTACAATGTCTTTGCGGCTTCATACTGACGTCGTCCGATCTCGAAACAGCTTTTTGCGCCGTTATCTTTCTCGGTGAAGTAGGGCCCCCGGCCGTGGCAGTCTACGGGTTTCCCGCCACAAGTGCTGTCTGTGTACTTACATTGTTCTCCCGAACCATCTTCACACCAGGCTCCGAGGACATTTGGACTGGTATCGCCGACATTAGATTGAGAAAACCCTGCGACAAAGCCATCCGCAAAGTTCTCATCGTCCTGGACGCTCCTTTCGAAGAGCCACGCAGCGACGCCTTTGTTATCCCCAGTGACCAATGTATTGTTTTCATACATAGACGTTCCATGGACGGGGAAGAAGGACAACACCGCTGTTGTTTTGCTGTCGGATGCTCTATCAAATCTCAGAAGTGTCAACGTCTTGTCGACATTTGCCGGATATTTCGCCTTTTCATCTGCAGGATTAGCATCGTAGGCATAAGGGCTTCTGTTGATGTTGGCGTCTTCAAGATCAATAGAACCGAAGTTGAGAGACCCGGGCTCTAGGCTTTCATGGGCCCGCTGAATAGAGAGTAGAACACCATCCACGACAGCTTGATAGCTCTGCTTATCGAAGCCCTTGGTTGGGATTTGGGGAAGGAGGTAGTTCATCCATGCGCCTGGGCCTGAGTGGGAATGAGTCCCGGTGAGAGCTAGGTTCTGCTCTCCATATCTGGTATACTCGCCACCTAAAGCAGCGAGGCCTTCAAGTACACCATACCGCACAGCAGTGTCGCCCGTCAAAGCATCCAGTACGAGATAGATGAAGGTATCGCTTGTGTTCTGTGGGTTCGCCACAATGAAAGCGCGGGAGTAGATCCTTTGTCGCAGGCCAGAGCCAACCTGATCCAAGCTCGCATAGCCGTTGAAGATGACTTCCGCCACGGGCCTACATTGACTCAGTCAGTCGTTCTGCGTGATGGGAATGTGGACTGCATCGATTTACCCCGTGATATCCGCCTTTCCTGCACCAAGTAAGAAGGTCCCATTCTCCGCCGCGGAAGACGCAGAAGTTGCCGCAGATGTCGTGGTCGCTCTCTGTTTCCATTGCAGCCGCGACTGCACCCTGACCGGCTGATTGACGTTGGAGTTGCTAATCAGCAGGAACAATTGCAGCACAACAAGTGCTGTCGCTACGCTGCTCACGAGGGCTAAGCCAAACTTGAGATTCGCCATGGTGGTCGGTGAATCGAGTGTATTCGAGCAAGCGTCACATCTGGAAGCTTAAAGCTCCTCACCAGGGAAGAGGGGTCCTTATCAGCTGCTTGCATTCAGAACAGACCGAGGCAGTGACTGTGATTGCGCATGACCGGACAATTTGGGGAGGATATTGAATATGTACGCCACAGCAGGGTCCTTTTGCAACCTCTCGCAGGGATGGATGGTGAAAGGGAAACTATTGGCGCAGCTGCAGGCGGGAAGGTAACATAAAGTGCTTCTGATCACCCCGTCGTCATCCGGGACTAAGCTCAATCAGGCACGCAGAATCCGACCCCGCGCAGCAAGACGGCGAGGATGCCTTGCCAAATCTTGCCCAGGGTTGGAATAGATTGATGATAAGCGTTCAGTTCGGCTTGGTTGGTTGTGGTTTCAAGGTTGTTTGTGATCACCGGGGACACGGGCAGCATTCCGCAGGGCGGCGGGGAGGGGAAGGAAAGGAGAGAGAAGGAAAGGACTCGGGCGGGAGCTTGAGCTGCGGTCATTCAGGAACTCCAGCCATTCTGTTGGCTCAAGGTTTCTGTCACGTGGACAAGGTGATGTATCAGTAATTGGAAACTAGATGTAGGCCTGAGAAAGGTCAGATTGATCTCAACAGTCAGGTATTTTATTGTATTATTTATGCACATGCATTGCCTCAAGACACAACCAGCTCTTCTAGCCTAGCCAATTCAAAAGCACAAAGAAAAGACAAGCACACGACCTTTCCTGCGCCATGCTGCCCGACAGTGAAACGCCGCTGCATGATCTCTTCGAGTCTGTCCGACCAACTCCCGGATTCAAGGAAAACCGAAGCAATGAACTTGACTTGTGAACAGCTTATCACAGAAGCCATAACAAGAGAGCATCCAGAAAAGAAACATTCATGACATAGATCATCCAGCAATGCAGTGGACAGATATGCTGGGCATAACAACTGACAGTTCCCAGATGAATGAGGAACCATCGGTGGTTCTTGAAACCCGCAAGTCCTACTCACAAATGAAAGTTCAATCAATCAATCATAAAAAGTCATCCAACCATCTATCCATTTGACATGATAGAAAAGATCAGAAAAGAGCTAACACAATAGGCCAAGAGGGATAAGAACAGGAAAAGCAAAGCCGCTGGGTGTGTACAGCATGATGTTCCCCGAAGTACTCACAGAAAAGAAGCTATAAAATAAAAGACATCCCTGGAGAGCAAGCATGGGCAAATGGAATCTAGGCTTTGAAGCCTATTCCATCTCCACACATAGAAGCATGTACAAACAAGAAGATATAAATCACAACTCCATTTCCATGCATCAGGCCATTATCACATGTCGAAATTATCATCAACGTTGAAGATCCCGGGCTCGCCGCCTTCACCAGTTCTCTGAACGCCACTCATACGGTGATCCATGTGGTTGCTTGACACCTGTTGGGCCCGAGGCCACGTCTCGGTATCCTCAACCATGTGGTCGCCAGTATCGTTCTTGAAGTGGTGGTCGATCGAGCTTTCGTTCACAAAGGTAAAGCCCTTGAAATTGGCCTGCAGACCGGGAGACAGCGGTGTCCCCGCAGGCATCAGCCCGTTGGCAAGAGCGGCTGCGCGGTCATTCAGAGAGTTGTTGTTCTCTAGGGCATTGGTGAATTCGGGGTCGAAATTGGAAGTGTCCGTATCGGACTTGAGGACAGGCTTGAAAGGAGGTATCACCTCCTTGCGACCCAGTGCCTCCCAGTCAACATCGTCAAAGAAAGGATGGGCCATGAGCTCCTTCGCGTCGCCCTTGGCGCCAAGACGGTGCTTGGGGTTCCGGTTGAGCAAGCCCTTCACGAAGTTCCTTCCCTCTGTGCTCAAAGCGTCACGAGGGAAACGGACCTTGCCAAAGGCGATGTTCTTGTACATCTGCTGGGTATCTTCGGCATAGAAAGGACTCCAGCCGCAGCACATTTCGAAAACAAGGACTCCAAGAGACCAGAAATCGACCATCTTGGTATAACCTTGTTCATCAAGCAATACCTCCGGGGCGAGATATTCGGTCGTTCCGCAGAAAGTATTTGTGGTATCGTTTTGGGTGAGGTTTGCCTTGGAAAGGCCGAAATCACAAAGAGCGATATGACCATTGGCGTCGAGGAGGATGTTCTCCGGCTTAAGATCACGATACACGATATCGTGGTCGTGAAGATGCTGTAGGGCCAAGATCAACTCGGCAATGTAAAACTTAGCACGCGCCTCTTGGAATCGTCCTTCTTTCTGGAGATGCCAGAATAGCTCGCCGCCGGACATATAGTCCGTGACCAAGTAAAGGTCGGTGGGTGTTTGAAAGGAGAACTTCAGCCCGACGATGAAGGGAGAAGCGGCCATAGCTGTTCGAACAAGAATGTTACGCTCACCCAAGGTATGCGCAACCTCCTTCTTCTGGATGATGACCTTCTTCGAAAGAACCTTCATAGCGTAAATACGCCGTGTGTCCTTCTTCTTCACTTGATACACCTGGCCAAAAGTTCCCTTGCCAATAAGCTTCAAGATCTCGAAATCGTTCGGTCCCACCTGCTTTCTCTCTGTCTTCTCGAAATGCATTTCCAGGTGAATCTCTCCGGACACCTGAGAGTCACCCGCCGCACGGGAAGCCAAAGGAAACCACCCTTCCAGGCGGCTATTGTCTTCCATCAGATTAATGCATAGTCGCACGTGACCAAGAAAATCTTCATGGTTGCTCCGATCATAGACGGACACATCAATTTCCGACTCGTCCCCGAAGACGTCGCTGTTCAGAGTTAGCGATGGTCGGATACTTGGATACAAGCGCCATGTGGCATTAAACACGGAATGGACTTACAAAGTCGCTTCGTGATTCCAATGAGGATCAGTGACAGGAGCCCGACCACCCCTCAAATCGGGACCGTCTAGCGCGCTGTTGTTGCTACTCTGTCGACTTTTCATCGGGATCGCCATCGGCCGTCCAGCTTCGGGTTCCAAGCTTTCCTGTTCCTTTTGCTGCCGTTCCAGCGAGGCGTCTTCTTCCTCTTTGGCACTCTTCGAAATCGCTTCATTCCATTCAAAAACGCACACCACATAGGGATCGAATCCGGGTCGCAATCCCCTGGCCTCGGAAATCTTGACAAACAACTTGCCCTTCAGTGGGGCCACGGGCGGGCCATTAGACGGCGACGGAGTATCTCTCTCGGGGGGGAAGGCCTCGTTGAGCTTCCCGGCAAGCTCGTCGGTAGAGCTTGTTTCGTCGCCGGACTGGGCTGGTACGGGAATTGATGCTGGAGGAGGCGATGTGACCGGCTTCTTGTCCAGTTGCGATCCTTCGTTGGACATGGCCCGTGGAGTAAGTGGGGGTGTGTTCTTAAAGCGCACAAGATCCGACACGGTTCCAGTTAGCTTCGCCAGATTCTCAGAAGTTATAGAGACAAGTGGTTTTTCGTGTTCGAGTAGGGGAGCATCCGCCAAACATAGGGTATCTGACATGTAAGGAGGAAGAGAAGGGTTGGAGAAGTGTGTGGCAAGGACAGGGTCGTCAGAGACGCTGGAAACTGGCAGGGAGGTATGACGACGGGCTGGAGATTCGGAAGAAGACATGCTCCCGGCGGGCGAGAGATAATTCTTCAACGTAGTGAAAATAGAGCTCATGCCTCTGTCCGAGGTAAAAGAACCAGATCCAGTCTCATCCGACTCTTTCTGCAGAAGGGAACAAGCGGAGTGGTACGGGGGTGTAGGTAGGTTCGTGGGGGGTAATGTCTCTGGTACTATCATATTCGTCTCAAGATTCTGATCCGGCGAAGCGACAGATAACTTGGTGTCCGTAACCTCCGGGCGCTCCATCAAGACAAAGGAGTCCGAGGGTGAGGAATTGTGACCAAAAGTTTGAGAGTCCCGACCTCCTCCAGCGGACATATCCGACTGGAAAGAATACGCGGAAGCACGAGTCTCAGAAGAAGAACACCGGGTGTTGGGGCGACGAGTGTTATTATTTGAGGGAGAACCAACCTGGAAGTAACTGGAACTTAGGGAGGGCAGACGCTTATCTGCTAGATCGGGCTGTGGAGTCGAGATTCCGGTTGGCGTCGGACTGTTTGAACCGATCGAATCTTGGTTGTCTTCCTCTTGCACACCGCTGCTACACAACTAGTTAGCCACCGCAGAGGAAAATGAAGATTTGTTGAATCGGCCGCGACACGGAAAGCAGTAAAACCGCAAAGCGCCTCAAAACACAACGACTGAGTGACAAGAGATCGAATAGATGGCTGGGGGGGGGGGAAACTTCAGGGCGGTGCAGATGTGAGCCAAGACGATGAGGATACAAGACTTTGCGTCGTTGGCCTATCGTGGTTGACTCATGATGCATGCAATATTACGCAGAACATAAGTGACATGTAAGAAATGAGTAGCATGAGGGCATTCAGGTTCGGAGTGTAAAGGCCGAACCTTGGTAATCCTCATCGCGAGATCGCAACTATCTGGTGGCGGATGAAGTATCCATAGTAGCAGACTCACCTCCGGGGTATGGGCTGCTTCAACATCTCCGCATCTCCGCGCGATTGGGTTGCACTCTGAGCAGCAGCCATGATTATGTTCCCATCCGATAACCAAGTCCTCCGCCTAGCGCACCGGAATTAAAGATCGTCGTTCTAGACGTTGCGACGCGAAGGATGACGTAGTGGAGCGTGAGGTGAGTCGAGGCCGACTAGCGAGCAACAAAAATCTCTCTTCCGGAAGATGTAGGAGAAGAGATCTTAGCTAGAAAAGGTTTGTCGGGGAGATGATGTTGGGGAGTATAACCCAGGGGAATTTGCGGGATGTTGGATCCGATCGGGTTCGGATGACAGGGCGATGTGAGAAGAATGGGGAGGGGTAGAAGGATAGAGAAGGCGGGATTAAATGACCTGTTGGGTGGTAGGAAGGTGTTAAAAGCAGAAGAGCCAGAAGTGGATCCGAGCGAGAGAAAATGTTGAAAGAGGCGGAGGCGGATGAAGTCAGGCGCAGATTAGGGGGAATTCGAAGTGGAATTGTAGTTAATGGGGGGGGTGAGTAAAAGGGAACTGGGTAGGGTAGGGTAGAAGGCTAAGCTTGGTAGGTAGGGGAAGAGGGGGGGCGAATAATAATGCCACAGGGCAAGAAAATAGAAAGAAAGAGAGAGAGAGAAAAGAACGAAGAAGTGATCTTTTTTTTCTTTTTTCGCCCATAAAGGAACCCAATGAGTTCGTCCCTTTTCTTTTTTTTTTTCTGGTTCTCGTTCTCACTCTCAGCTTGGGGGCGAGCTGAAGAAACCCGAAGACAAGAGACAAGACACGAGGAGGATGAAATGAATCATTGGAACTTACAATTACTGCCCGTCGTCAATGTGGGTTGCAAATGGAGCCTTAGCGTCAATCAGGTCCAGATGGACAAATGGCGGGCGGACACCGGCGGATAGCGGGTTCGGTTGGTGCAGTGAGTGGGATTGAATCAGGTAAGGTAAAGGTAGGTGGTGGGTGGTAGGTAGTAGTAAGTAGTTGATGGGTACGTAGATGAATCGTGAGTCGGTTGCTCGTCTGATCGATTTATATAACCCTGTCAAAAAATACCAACACATCAAATGTTAGAAAGAGAGAGAGAGATCTTTCATGGTTCACACCCTTCAAGAATCTGGCAAATGTGGAAGTTGATAAGTGTGGAAGCAAAGGGTGGTGGCGTTCATGCAGTCCCAAAAAAGAAGAAGAGGGAAAAACAAAAAAAGAACCAACTGCCAGTCATAGACTCAAGGTGCCGCTGAAGCCGCTGAATGGATCAGGGACTTGCAGGATACCAAAGGGGGATGAACTTCAAAAATTGCGGACAAAAAAAAGCAATAGAAAGAAGGTTAAGATCATTGAAGGCATGGGCTGGATTACGGGGAAATCGAACCAATGGTGAAGGGGTAACCACGAACCAGGTGAATAATCACGCTTGAAGATAACTAGAAGAAGTAACAGTCAGGCGATGGTCGAAAGGTAGTATATCGCGCTCAACGACGAGTGCAAGCAGACACTTGTAGTGATGCTGGTGGTGATGCTGGGGTATACAATAAGGTCGAGCGGGAATTTGCTACAAGTAGGAAAACAATCAATCATGCATGAAAGATAAAGAAGGTGGAAAAGAGAATTCTTGAGGCCATTGATGAGGCGGGCAATAATGTTGTATATATGCTGTTGTAGGTTTGTTGGCCTGTAACAGAGCTTATAGTCCAGGGGCTGTTGAACGGCAATGAAACACAAATCTTGCACCTACCTTAGTGCGGAGTTGCCTTAAGCAGGAGAAGATAAGTTAATGATGGAGGCAAACTGCCACCTTTTGGGGACTCAGGAACAAATCACAACCAAGTAAGGCGAAAGGGCTCGCGCGGAGTGGAGATGGCGGTGGGTTGGACAAATGAAGAAATAGAGTCGGGGGCTTGGGTTGGAGCCACTTGGTGAAGTCAACCACAAACCGACTCGCAGGGCAGCAACATTATGGTCCTTTTAGGTATTACCGCCAGTGCTTGCCAGTGCTTGCCAGTGCTTGCCAATGGATAGATGAATAGCAAGGTGAGGAAGAAGGAGCCGTGATAATATAGTAGTAGTAGCGGTAATGGTTATGATAGTAAGTAAATGGAGCAATAGTAAAATCAAAGTAAGTTAGCAGCCGCAGAAGAACAAGAATCATGGACCCAAAGCAATAGCGGCCTTGGTAGTTCGAAATGGGGCCTGAAACCGACGGAATGGACAGAAACAAGCAAGCAGACAAGCAAGCAGGAAATCGAATCCTAAACCAAACTCATCGCATCGAACTCCTCGGGGAAAGGAAAGAGGAGGGGGAGGGGAGTCATCTGAAGATAAATATGAACCCCGAACGTTGATTGTCCGGTCAAGAGAAAGAAGCAAGAGAAGCAAGAGCTTCAAGCCGCTGATGACTCTAAGGAGGTCTGATGATGAGCAGCCACTCGGTGCATGATTTGCCTCTTGACTATTTGGGATCAATGATGACTGATTATCCGCCCCGGTGAGCGTCACTCCATGGTTCATGGGGGAGAACCGGGCATTCTCGAAAGTCTGCCATATTTCTCCTTACCATCTCTGGACTCTGCGTGTGGTCGGTAGTAACCGGTCCGAGTAAGGGGATCATCGAGATGCCGTTCAACCACAGCCCAGGACGTATCAATTCAGATCTGTGTGCGATCGATCTTCCATCTGTTCCTTGACATTTGCTTGGATCTGGTGTCGACTTTTCGTACCTCCTTCCTTCCACCATACATCGTACAGTAGTACCATGGGAGAAAGGGCTTTCATTCTTCTTTCTGGGCAACACCATCTGACAGCGGTCCCCGCGATACAGGAAGTCTATCCAAACTATACTATTCCGTACTGTACCCCCCGGTTCCTCCAGCGATGCTATAGCTTTTCTCCCCCAGGCTTATCCGCTAAGCGCCGCGCGACCTAAAGTTCTACACTTTAAGAACTTCCGGATGATAAGTCCGCCCGCCACACCACCACCACCACCACCACCACCACCTACTCCTCCTCTTCCTCCTTTCCCTCTTCTCCTCTTTCTCCTTCAGTCCGTCCGTTCGTTGCCTTGCCGGCATCTGCAACGGGGTGGGGTCTCCTCGGCGACCAACGCTATCAACGCAGGTCATTGAAAATGGATGATTGATTGACAGACAGATTCTAGTCGGCGGATGAGGGGATGGGTGACTCGATCATTTGGCTGGCGATGATGCTATCCACTTGAGCTGCAGGAAGCTGTGACATTTCATCACCGATGTCACCTTTGGGTTGTCGCCTATGGACTACTAAAGGGGATTTTACTTCCCTAGTAGCGCTCGACCGGACCGGGAGTGGACCGATTACCTCCTTAGGAATGTCTCGCTTCCTGAAGTGGTTGCCTTGGCTGTCATGGAAGTATGTAAAGTTCTCGTCCGAGTACTGTACTCCCCTTGCCGTGACAGCTACCGGAAATCGGCTCACCTTGCTGAAGAAATCCGACCAGGGATAATTAGTATGATAAGAGATGCGATTTTTTTGTGACATCACACTTCCGCGGAGTATTTTCAGCTCGTGTTTGTTGTGGTCGCGGTCAAAGCCGGATTATCTCAGATGGGAATATGAAAGGGCAGAGCCTTGCCGGCTGAGATGATGGTTACTCTGCAGCATACATGAATCTATTTTCGGGGGTAGTATAGCCGCAATGCCGCGCCGCATTTACATACAGTACAAGCAAGCCTTCGATGTCGAGTCTGCTTCGCTTTACTGTTTACTGTCAATCTCATCCTCGGGCTTTCCGTGCATTCCTAATTTCTTAGTCAGATGCCCTAAGTTAACTACGCGTTGCGCAACAGCCTCCCCCCTCCCTTCTGTCCACTAAATTCGTTCTTGTCCCAACTAAACAAAAGTAAGACGCCGATGATGATGATAACGGTCCTCGTAAACGTGAAAAAAAAAGAACAGAGAACCACATCGGAAACTAGCGGGATTTCCGGGCTGACTTCTCCTTGCATGTGCACCTCACGAATTTCAGGGCCGCTGAGCATAGTACATACATACATACATACATGATCAGTGGGGAAGCTTTGCCCACACAATACAACATCTATCTATTACTGCAAATCTACCGACTTTCGCGCGTCATCGCAACAGTGGTCGTGGGGGAGGAAAGTGGAGCAGGATAGTCGATCTCCCAAGACAGCTGGTTCGACGGCAGTGACAGCCGAGAGACGCAGTCAGTCAGCTTGACTTTCTGGCCTTCACTAACGCACGCACACTCTAGGAGGAGAGATCACTCCATAATGCATTGTTGTTAGACTTTTTATCGGGAGGCAGGTAGAAAGAAAAACAGCTTGCAGCTGCGCCCGCGGATCGAAACGATATCTTTTGTTGAGCAGCCTCCAATAATAAGAGGGATGGCCCATGTAGGATTACTGATAGACTTTCTTCCTCCCGGCTTCTAGTCCAAAATCCTGCTACGCAGTTCCCCAGTGTCACCACCGGCTGTTTTGACGATCCTAGGGTTGTTGCTTGGGTCGGCAAGGGCGACCTGTGATCAGTGAGGCCGGTCACCTGCAGCAGAAGCTGTGTAAGCGCGATCGCCGGGCCACACGCAGCAGCAGCAGCAGCAGCAGCAGCAGATCCATTGCTCCGGAGTAAACCACGCCGTGGAAGAGATAAAACACTACGGCGTACTCAGTATACGATACGACATGATCGCCCTTCAACACGATCAACATGATTGCACGAGGGGAGGCCCCCCCGACCCCCTCAGAGAAATGCACTGATATTCAACGCGTGCGGAGAAGAGGCACCCTATCATGGTGGGGTTGGGTTGGAGATGGGGGCAGATGGGAGGGGCAAAGGGTAAGAGGGGTTTCAGAGAGTGTCCAAAAGTCAAAAAAGAGAATGTCCACCGCCTTTTCCTCTCTACAGCATGTGAAGCTGGCTGCTGGGATGAAGCGCAGGCGATACGTTCTTACGTACCTTGTTGATACCAGTGGTTAGTTAATGTCTGTGCTTACCTTATCGCGATGGCGTTGGATGGTCGCTCAAGCCCTCATTGAGCAGCAGCAGTATGCAGTGCTCCTGGACCTGCTCATAATACCGAGTAAAACCACCTCTTGCCATCCACGGAAAATCCCGCATACTCATACTGCAACACATGGTGGAGAGGAGCCCGAAATGTCAATTGAAAGCCCGTAGATAAGTTTTGAAGGAGGTTTTCCGGAAAATCAGAACTCAATGCAAGCGCTAATTAAGTGTCGGCGATCGACGGGGCAAAAGAAGCGATGACATCATTCGGCAGCGAGTGTCAATGGGATCGCGCCATTGAGGGGGGCAGAAGTGGAGGAAAAGGGCAAAAAATTGGAGAAGGGGAAGGGGAAGGGAACAGAAGTTTTGGCACGTGGCAAGGCAGCATTTTATGTATGCCTGAGGCAAGAGTCTCGGTCTTCAGATCTTAGTCACGTGATAGATACAGCATCCTCGGCTAAACTAAAGATCCGCGTCCGACCACCCTCTTGGTTTAGCGCGACAGGCAGCGGAAAGGCACGTCCGAAGGGCCTCTTCCTCCACCTTACTCTGTTTGGCGTCCCCGTTCCCTCCTTCCTTTCACTTCAAACGGTCGCTCGCTGTCAGTCAACGATGGCCCGCAAACTTCGAGCGGCTGCCCAAGCAGCAGCTCAATCAATGAGTATGATATTCCCCTTCCTGCCTTTCCTGGTAATTCTTCTTTGGCTGCTTGCCAGGGCGTGCGTGCGTGCGAAATTGAATCCGTGATGAGCGCGAATATTAATTTCCGTTTAGGGAATGCCGCACCTCCGCTCCCCGATGCCTCTGACGAAGAAATGATCGAAGCACCGCCGTCGCGTGGCTCCTCGCCTGCTATGCCAGATCCTGGCGATGCGTCGGACAAGGATCCGGATGTGGAAGGCCCAACAGACCCAGCCCCCGAAGACGAAGAGGCGGCAACACCTGCACAAGATTCCAACGCGCCATCCCGGGGCGACACACCAACTCGCACTGGAGGTCGCATCTCAGCCATCCCGCGCAAGCGTCGCATAGGTCGCCCCCCCAAAAACCGCCCCCCAGACTGGGATGCGCCCGACGACGGTTCCGCCCCCGCGCCGATTCATGTGAGCACGCCTGTCAAGAGGAGACGAGGACGACCTGCTGCCAGCGGTGGACGTTGGGCGCGGAATCGCGGACCGTCGCATGTTACGCAGGTTCCAATCGACAAGGAAGGAAACATGATGGATGTCATCGACGATGAAGTAGCCCTGCCCGACGACCCGGAGGGTGAAACGAAGGTCGACAAGTGCGGAAATCTGCTGGGTGGCCGAGATTACAGAGTTCGCGTCTTCACACTTCTTAACCGTGGCGACCGGAAGTACATGTTGTCTACAGAGCCGGCCCGCTGCATCGGATTCAGGGACTCATACCTGTTCTTCCAGAAACACAAGTTCTTGTACAAGATCATCATCGACGATGACGCGAAGCGCGATTTGATCGAAAGAGAAATCATCCCACACTCCTACAAAGGTCGAGCTATCGGCGTGGTCACTGCCAGATCCGTGTTTCGGGAGTTTGGCGCCAAGATTATCGTTGGAGGTAAAAAGGTCGTCGACGATTATCATACCCAGGCTGCGAGAGAACGGGGAGATGTGGAAGGTGAACTCGCTGTCCCCGAGGACAGACTTCCGGGCCCGGGAGAATCTTATAACAAGAACCAGTACGTCGCATGGCATGGAGCCAGTAGCGTCTACCACACTGCCACACCCGCAGCCCCCTTGCCCACGGGTAAGGTGGTGGATTCAAAGAAGCGCAAGGTCACAGTCACAGGCGACAATTGGATGCTTGAGCACGCTCGCGAAGCAAGGTATGCGTTTTCTTGTTTCTTGATTTGGCTAGTTATACGATGCTGATTTTATGGATGCAGCAACTTCAACAGCCTTCTTTCTCAGACCCGCCGCATGAATCTGGATGGTCAATATGACATCCACACCAACCTCATGCAGTACCCAAAGATCATGCAACCCTCTCATGCTCGCTGGGAGCGAGTACCGCCTCCTGACCCGCGCCTTGCGAGTCGACTGGCACAGGGAATGTCGACCCTCAGGTTGACGAATGGTAAAGACACCAACGAGTCAACTGTTGTGGCGGATAGGGAAGCCGATGAATCGATGGATGACGCCGGCGACACGACGGCAGTAACAACAACCGAACCGACCGATCCTGAAACCACTACCATATTCTCTTCTGTCCCCATGGCTCTTTCTCGTCGCTTCGCCATCCACGATGTCCATTTTGAAACCGCCCCGTATTCAGGTCTCGGCATTCCCGGCCCGGACGGTGATGTCCACGACGTCGGCTCCAATGGATTCCTCAGCGTCGCTGATCCAAAGAATGCCGAGTTCATGAGTCCGGAAATCCTCGCGGAACTCCCGCCGGACTGCCAGGAAGCTCTTCTTGATGCCGCCGCAAATGAATTGCATTGGAAGTCGAAATGGGCCAGCGAGGCCATTGACGGAGCCCGTAGCAACCCGCTCAAGAGCTACGCCTGGTTCCCTTGATGGGTGTCACGTTCTCCTTCCCCTTCCCAGGGCCAATCCTGCAGGCAAAATTGAATAGCTAGCTATTCTGAGCCATACCCCGTCGCGTTTGGAGAGCATTGCAAGGAAATAGCTGGCCCGGGACGGACGAAAAAGTATTACGATAAATGTTCCTTTTCCGACTACTGATCATGCAACGGCGTCTTCTTTTCCCAGGTCTCCTTACATATCCGAGAGTTCATCCTTTCACTCACAAATTCGATCCAAATTCGGCACAGGGACGGAGGTGTCAGGTTTCCACGCGTTCTTACGGATGGGTTCTTTCATTGCCCCCCTTTTTCACCTTTATTTTTTTTTATTTTGCAGAAGGGTAAACATCTCCTTGGAGTTGGCGCTTTCCGATTCGTATCAATCGATCAATTGGGTCCCCCCTGAAATGTGTATTAATAGCTTTTCTTAATCTGATAGCTGAAGATTGACTTGCGTCGTCTTTACTCTTCTGGCCCTGGAGTAGGATATTTTCTCATGTAGCAGCCTACCTCGCATGGGAGATGTCTGAGCGTAGACGGCCAGGCACCAACCTATACTTCATCCACCTCGGCTCATTTCTCCGCAAGAACCTCTCCACCTGTCATTCGGAAAACATCCACCATTCTCGATCATCTATCCCGAATAAAGAGCAGTCAATGAACAGTCACTTGTGAATATCCAAGCGAGACAATCTTGACCTTGGTGTATTTCATCCTTTGCAAGCGGTAGGGGCTTGAGGATGGTCGGGCCTAGGCTGGTACTTAGAACCAGTCCGACCCGTGACCGAATCGACTGCCTGAGGTCCCATGGACCGTTCGCCAGCCAGCTGAGCTCGATAGTATGTACCTACCTAGTCTAGAAAGCAACTTTTTAAGGCAGAGTGAGTAACGCCTCCAGGCTCCAGCATGATATGTCTTCATTTAGGCCAGAACATCTGGGCAAGCTCGCTGGGGAGGTGGGTGCAGCACGGCAGGCAGATTCTTTGCGGGGACTCAATATAAGCTAAGCGCACGGGCACTTTGAAATTGTTTCAGTGGTTTAGGTAGTAGTTAATAGTATCTAGTTGTGGACATTGATTCATTCATTCCATTCCATCATGCGAATGTAGTAGTAGTGTGGTGGTGGTAGTGGTAGTGGTAGTGAAAAAAAAAGGGCAAACGCAGCGCAAACGCGGCTCAACTCCAAGACGCAAAAGAGAGAGAGAAAAATAAGAAATGGTGTGAAAGAGCAAAGCACGGGAAAAAAAGAAGCGGCGCAAGGGCAGACGGCACAAAATATTCTTAAGATACGGGGGACAGAATTACAGAATAAAGCAAAGAAGGAGGGGGTGCACAGCGCCCCCCGATCCCCACTTATCCCATGGCCATCTCGGCGCGAAGCTTTTCCAGCTCTGCTTCCTCGTCGTCTTCTTCGATGTGTGCGGGTTGGGTTTTGACTAGAGGTTTGAGGTTTAGTTGTTTACGTTTCAGAGATTGAGCTTGCTGGGAAGGTAGAGGAGTAGTGAACTCACGTTCTCCGTTGGCCGCGGCGGGTAACCGGTTGAGCTGGTCTGCCACGGGCACGGTGCCGGTCTTGAGCATCCGCTCGTCCATCGCCTCCTGCTCCAGACCCTCGAGCTCAGCCTCCAGATCGGCCTCGTCCGGTTGTTCGGTGATGGAGCTGCTTGTGATGGCCTGGGCGATCTCCTCGCTGAGTTGGTGCTGTTCGCGGAGTTTGTCCCTGTTTCAAGTGCCCACTGGTTAGCCCCCGGCTGCGCCGCCACTTCCAACCATGATGAACATATGTATACACGTACATCGTCTCATCCACCTTGTCGATGGTCATCGAGCCATGGATCTGCGTCATCGCCGCACCGGCCGCCTTCATGGCATTGAGAGTCTCCTGGTTGATGTTCGCCGCCTCGATCGAGTAGATCTGCTGTTCGAGCTGTACGATCTGCGCGGTCGTCTGCTCGAGGTTCTTCTCGTGGTTCTTCTTCCGTCGCAGGGCGTTTTTGGCCGCTTTTTGTTTAGAACATATGAGCTGTCTGTGTGTTTGAAGTTTGTTGTACCACGCTCCCGCAACCGTTTCCCCGGACACAACACGGTTGGATTTAGTGGAAAGAAAAGAACATACCGGTCTTATTCGTCGTCACGTTCTTCCTCGCAATCGCATCCTGCTCGTCCATCTGGCTTTCGAGATACTTCTCGCGCTTCTGGAGCATGTCCAGCTGCTCGCGGAGCATCAGGATCGCCTCCTTGGGCGCATCTTTCCGCTTCTGAGCGGCCGCTCCGCCGAACCAGGACCACATTGTTGATAAGGACTGTGTGTAGAGAAGGGGAGAGTCTAGAATGTATGTGAAAGACGGAGTATCTCTATGAGATTCTGCGTCTCACACCGATCCGCAATACAAAAGCTCGAGAAGGGGTGGGTTGTTGGGGAAGAGCGGCGAGTTTCCTTGGAGTGGGATGGAAGGCGGTCGAGGAGGTGTGAAGTGGGATGTGGTCGCAATAAGTGGATCTCACTCGATCGGACCCGGGAGTTAGTGTCGAAAGATGGGAGAAGGAGATCTGCGAGTCTGCCTGAATTGACTGAGAGAGCAAGTACAGAACAGTGTCTAGAGTTGAAAGCCGGGGCAGGAGGCAGAAGAGGAGGAGCGAGAAGGCAACGAACCCAAGTTGGATGACAATCCGCCTGCCCAGTGGTTTGGTTTTCCCCTCGTTTTGGCCCTATGACATACACGCTAAGCCTATCGGGGAGGTCACCGTCACGTGCCCACGTCATTTCCCGCTGCTTCGATATCTTCTCAGGCTTTCCTTAAGTTCTGCATCAATCCAACTAGATCCACCAGCTATGTATGGTGCGATGAAATCTCAATAAACGTCCGAAGGGATGAACGCCCCCATTCCTTCAACCCGCAGTTTTCTCTCGGATCTTCCCTCCCTCCCGATTGATTCGAAAGTCCGATTTCTCGGTTGGTGCGTCGGAACTTTCCCTGATGTGCAGCCACTATTCCCGCATAGAGTTTATATAGATCCGGGATGATTCATTTGCGTTCCCTTTAAACCTCGCACAATCCCACCTCATCCGTAGACGCAGAAGCTAATTCAACTCTTCAGCGTGAGAACATACCTGATCCGAACAGGCCACCTCGTTCTGGAGCACAACTATCCCCACCGTAAACCCCCGCAAGAGCCAGCCTCGGTGTTGGTCGACGTCAATGCCGTGCTAGAATCGGCCACGGCCGAGGAATTGCGCGTGGGTGCGTGGGTGACTGTGCTCGGGTATGTGAGAAGAAGAAAACCAAGCCAAGATGCCGAGTATGCTGGCCCTGCCTCCGTGTTCCCAGCTATCTACATTGAAGCTGTGCTGGTGATCCCGGCGGGTGCGGTGGCGTTGGGGGAGTATGAGCGGATTCTTCGGGACTCATTGGAGGCTGAACGGCGAGTGAGGAGGGCGGTTTGAGGTGGAGGTGGAGGTGATGGAGTATTAAGCCCAATTTCAGCATCTACGTATGCCCTGATGATCGGAGCCATGCTATGCAAGTCTGAACGTTGCACTCAGATTTCAAAGTAGGGGTCATCGTATAGATTTGGACCATGCACACGAAGCGCTAACTTTCGGTTTCAGCCATGCAGAGATTTCTTTATGGGGAAAACACATGAGCGTATGATTCTCTCTCCAATTCATGCATGCTCCTCTCAATGCAAAAATCCCTTTCCAAATTAAACCTCCATCTTTGTTTTCTCTGACACAGCCCCCCTCTCACCTCGTTGCATTTGTCGCTTTCGTTTCATCTCCAAATGCTTCTTGTCCTCCTGCATCCGCCGAATGAGAGTACTCCTCTCTCGAATCTTGTATCCATACTTATAGAACACGAACGGAATTGGGACAATCAGAACCTCCAACAATCCCAGCAACGTACCAGACCAGTTCGGCCCGATGCCCGAGTACATGTACGTCCCCACCAAAGGCAACACGCCGCCCAGGATACTTCGGATGACCGAGTTACCTGCCATGGCCGACGCCGCATAGACGCCATAGCTGCCCGCCAGGTAGTTCGTCGCATAGATGAATACCCCCGTGTTACCCGCACCGAAGGGGATCCCCGCCAGGATCGGGACGATCCAATGGACCGAGGCCGGAGAGCCGGTCCACGCAAACCAGAGCTCCCCCGCGGGGATCAGAAGCGCGGAGATACAGACGATCGACACCATGGCTTCCGGGGCGGGCTTGCCGGTTTCCGGGTCGATCTTGTGGCTGTTGATCATGCGGCGGATGAGCGGTTCGCAGGCGATGGTGATCAAGCACCCAGTTCCAATACCTAAGAAGGCTAGACCGGATAAGCCGAGAGACCAGCCGCGGATCTGGCGGAAGACAATGGGGTAAGCTGTGAAGCATAGGTACAGAATGCCATAGACGATGGCAATGTAGATGTTCCAAAAGATACTGTAGAAAGTACCACGTTAGTCTCGCGTATCGGGGAAGTGTAGAAAGAACAGCTTACCAGATCGGCTCAGTGACGGCCATGACAAATGGACGACTCAGATTGACCGTCAGCAGTTCCTTCAGACTAGCCTTCTGGTCGTAACGGCACCACCAACGCGATTCACCAGTTTCTTTGCGCAAACGGGCCGCCTTTTGCTGGAGGATAATGGGCCCATAGGTCTCCTTGAGTATGCACGAAAGGATTAACGCAACCCCTGACAAGATCAAGGCAATCCAATCCATCCAACGCCAGCCCAAGTACTGCGTCACGAACCCTCCGACTATGGGACCGACCACTGCATTTCTAGTCAATTTCTTTTTCTGGTCTTCAATTCTCAGATCCAACATTTGCGCATACCTGGACCATTGAGGGGACCAATACTCCAAATCGACATTGCCAGTGCCCGCTGATCATCGTGCGAGATATCCGCAACCATACCTGGCGCCGTCGAGATCATCACACTGCCGAAAAGCGCTCCAATGAAGCGGCACACAATCAAGGTGGCTAGGTTCTTGCTGACTGCGCAGGGGATGATCATGATTGTGAAGATTGCAAGGCATCCGACAGAAACGGGCTTTCGCCCGTAGAGTTCACTCAATGGAGCCATGAACATAGACCCGATGGCAAGCCCGATCAGGTACATGGTCAGTCCCAGAGTGACCACTGTGGTGGAGGCGCCAAACTCGGCGGCAATTTGAGAAATGCCAGATGTGTAGGAGGTTGAATAGAGAACTCTGGTAATCAAGAAACAGAAGAGTCAATCCTGGGGACCTGAAACATTCCGAGTGTAGGGAAGGATGATTGTAACTCACATAATCAGGGTGTTGTACGAAAGAAAGAACATCCCCATGGCTTTGTATCCGAGGGACCAGTTCTTCGGGTTGGTCCTGTCGAATTCATCCTCCCAGTCGACCTCATAGTTCGGGTCGGTTGTCCCAGTAGTGCCAATCGATGTCACCTTTCGCGCTAGTGAGGGTATCGAGATGCGCGATGTCCTCGTATTGATGTTGGCCAGAGCCTCTATCTGATCGGCAGTCTCGTCGGAAGATGTTGTTTCCGCGATGGAGTGGGCATATCTCGTGGTGGTCTCCTCCTCGCTGGGACGAATGCTTTTGTGGACATCTGGGGGCGGGGTCTGCGGGGACGCCATGATCTTTGCTGGCTGTTATGACAGCCGAGGCACCGGTGTGAGTCCGGTATATAACGCTCCAAAGTAGAGACTTGCTCTATATAGCGATGTATTAGATATTAAGACTAGGAATGAGGTTCCATGAGCTGAGTTGGTTTGAAGGCCTTCAGGATGTGGCTGTAATCTTGTTCTCCCGTTTCGTACAATAGGATATAGGCCGTTAAAAGCTATCACATGGGTAGCATTCAGGTCCAGATGTAGCAAGGAACCCCAGGTTCAGCTTGAAAGAGCTGGAGCTGTATAGAAAGTGGCGAGATGGAGAATAAATGTCCAGAGGGGCCAGGCACTGGAGCGAGAGCTAGCCCTCTTGAAGGAGTGGGATTGACATGGACAAGGACTTTTTTGAAGATTAGCGGCCCTGGGACTCTAGCTAATTCGGTTCAGGAATACAATTTAGGCTTAAGATTGGCGAGAGAGTAACGAGAGAGTGGGGCGACAATCTGTGCTGATAAGACTTTGGCGATAACTTGTAACTTCTCTATCACTTACTTGACCACCGGTATCGCATGTTAGTATGACTCGACGATCTGGCACTCTTCGCTTGTACCAGGAGGGTCTGCAGTAGTTTCGGGATTTGATCAAGCACTACCCTTGTCCGTAGGGTAGGTCAGGTTCCTCTGCATAGCAATATTCCTAGGATGCCGGATTGGTGCTCCTGCTTCGATCCCCGGTTTTACCCCAGATCATGATGGAGCTCATACTCATGAATATTAAACTCATGGGTCATCCCCGTGGAAAGGTGGACACTGGACACGATCTGGAGAATCGAGTTGATTGACACCAGGGCACCGCATCCATGCAATGACTGGAAAAGAAAGCACGTTACAGTCATTTACAGGCACGAGCCAATCAACGGACTTAGACAGAGATCGCAGGTCGGGTCCGCTTTGCCGCCCGTGCCGGTTTGCCGATCGACCTACAGGCGTTGAATTGTTCAAGGTTCTTATTTCAAGGCCTTGCTCGGTGGTCAAGGATAATATGAGTCCTCCTGCATGTTTGGGCCCTCAATTGACGATCACGAGTGCTGATTTGAGAGGATTTTAATACATCTGAACCTTGGCAGAGGCCCGTTGTTGTTGACTCGTCCCATAGAGTTAATCCCTCCAATATGCGGTCCTTGAGGCCCAACGGAGCGCTGGAAAGCTGCGTCAAAGGTGTTTAAAATGTGGATTTTGTGTGCCAACAAGAGCACCAGGTCTCTATGATCTAGAGCCATGGCGAATAGAGGGAGTATCAAGCTGTGCTCTCAAAAGGCATCAGCAACTGCCCAGACTAACAAGGTTCGGGACCCACCGAATGGGATATGGAGTGTTTCTATTTTCTCGACTGGGCCATCATTAGAAAGAGGCCGACATCGTTCATCTCAACCAGCTGGGCTCGGGTAGTCTCCAGACTGCATCTCGTCGACGTTCACGACTATCGGACTGAGGATTTGGTGGCCACAGTCACTGACAAAGCAGGTTGCTGTACTGCACACTGTACGGAGTACATAGGCACCGGATTAATTAAGACATCCCGGAAGATCGAATGGAGTCTCGGACATTTAACCTTGAATGGACTGACGACCCATTCGTGCTCGGAATCATCCCGAGCGACAATCCGGCCAATTCGTGGTGGAATCACGTGGGAGCATGTGACATGGCCTGGATTGACTCGACTGTTGAGTCACTCCGTAACTACAGTAGTTACTCCGATGCAACAAACAAACACTCATCAAGCTCGACATTCTACTTGCCATCTCTTGCCCTGCCGCAAACCTGGCTGAGCAGCAGATGTTGGAGCGACATCACGAAGCCTGGAGCCATGCTCCATTCTATTCGTTTTATGAGTAATCATCAATTAAATGCGAAGGATGGTCAAAGCTCACTCTCAATGTCCCGCGGACACCGCGGGATGAACAAGCACCGCGCTTGTGAGAGATCGTTCTCCTTTCTAGATTTCACTTCAATTTCACGGCAAGCCCCATACTTTCCAACTTCCAGACCCCCATTCCTGCAGAAAAGTCCGTGGCATGCCCGGTAGAATGCTCCGGTCAACCAACGAAAGGCTTCAAATTGTGGATCGCTGCATCGCTTTCTAACCGAGGCGACTAAATTTGGATCCCGTTCGAAGCGAACTCAACGCCCATGGCTCGAACCGCCATGGTGCTACCTCCGATAGGCTCGTGGCTCAGGGACACGATTCAATGTATTGGCATTAAATATCTACCTGGCCTCGAATTCTTCCCAGTTGTCTGGTTCTTGGAGTCATGGTTCCTATGCCACCCATCTTGTAGACTCGAAACCGCCACCTTTGCGCTCAGTTTAGCCCGGTTTTGGCCATGCTTCCTGCATTAGTCGCCGTGTCCGGCCTGGCCTTTCTTTACCTCTATCATGTCAATCGAGGCATGACCGGGGTTCCAGAGGAAGTCCGCCGTCTGTCTCCTCACCGCTGGACAGTCGAAGAGATCAAGAACGCCTACGAGGATGCGATTCGTAACCCTGTGGACGTCGAAAGCAGTCTGCCTCCTAAACAGAATCGTCGCTACATTGTGATTGGTGGATCGGGTATGTCTATAGCCCTGAGCTGTCTGCAGGAAATCTCCCGACTGCGGATGCGAACAGATAACTGTCAGGTCAGGAGGGGCCCATGTGCAAGAAGCAATTTCTAACACATGCTAGGACTTGTCGGAAACTGGATTGTCACACATTTACTTGCTCGCGGAGAGAACCCGGCAGCTATTCGAGTTCTAGACCTTCAACCACCTCGTCATGAGATTCTCGACCAGGGAGTCACGTTCTTCAAGACCAACATTGTCGACGAGGAGGCCGTCTCGAGCGCCTTTGCGCACCCATGGTCTGGAGCCGTGGCAGCCCTGCCGTTGACCGTGTACCACAACGCGGCAGTCATCCGGCCCGCCGAGCGTCACAAAGCTTTCCTATCACGGTGCCGCAACGTGAACGTGGCCGGCACCGTCAACCTGCTGAATGCTGCCAAGAAGCACGGCGCAAGCTGTTTCATCTCCACCTCATCCGGCTCCGTGGCTCTGCGCAGTGGCTCCTTCTGGCTCCCTCCCTGGCGGAAGACCCCCAAACACATGATCCAGGTGATCAGCGACGCGACCCCTCTGCCCCAGGAACACTACGACTTCTTCGGCAACTACGCCGTCTCCAAGGCGGAAGCCGAGTCCCTCGTTCGCGCCGCGGACGATCTCGAATCCAACTTCCGCACCGGCTGCATCCGACCCGCGAACGGCATTTACGGAATCGGGGAAGAAAACAGCGCAGGGGTGACAACGATGTATCTGAAGACCGGCGGAAACACCAGGTGAGCAGGGCCCCTTCCCCCTTTCCCCGCAAAATTTCCTGGTCCCCTTTGCGAAACAATCCACCCCCTAACCTCTTTTTCTTCTACCCAAAAAAGCTGGATCTACCCGGTCGTCCAAAACTTCGTCAACGCGGAGAACGTCTCGATCGCGCACCTACTCTACGAACAACGCCTCCTCGAACACACGGCCACCCCCGCAGAGCTCCCCAACATCGGCGGGCAGGCCTTCCTCGTCACCGACCCCAACCCGGCCATCGCCTTCAGCGACCTCTACCTCCTGCTCAAGACCCTGGCCAAGACCCCCGTCGAGTTCCCCCGGGTGCCGGCAATCCCCTTCTTCCTACTCTCCTACCTCGTCGAGTGGTACTCCCTCCTACAGCATCTATACCTACCGCGGCTACTCCCGCCGGTGCCGAGCGATCTAGCGCAGCTGCAGCCGGGTCTGTTCGCGATCTCGAACGTGCACGTTATTGCGGACGATTCGCGGGCGCGGAGAAGCCCCGCGCAGGGCGGGCTGGGGTACGCGCCGCCGATCGGGACCCTGTACGGGATGTGCAAGCAGCTCGAGGATTGGAACCGGCGGGCGGATGTCAAGGCCGCGGAGGCGGCGGCGAAGAAGGGGATGGTGAGTGTTTCAGAGGGTGGAGGGGTGGATGTCAATCTGGTTGTGCCTCCGACGAAATTATAGGTTGTTGATTGGGGCGGCAACTGTACAGTACACACACATATATACATACTTCACTTCAGAATCTGTACATAAACATGGGACTTACCACAGCTGAATAGGGCGAGCGACCCACCCTCGCACACAGAACATCAAGATGACCAACCCAGCAAAGAATTCAATCATAAATACGAAGTGAACATATGCCCAAGACCCTACAAACAAGACTACCCTCATAAATCATAACCCCCCAAATCATTCCCAGCCATCCAACCCCAACACTTACAGCCTTGACAACCCCTTCGTCTCCCCTGGCGCATGATACTCAGGCACCCTCATCTCCAACGCCGCCCCGCGATACCCCAAATCCTCCGCCGTCAACACCGCACATTTCTCCCCGATCAGCAATGCCGTCTGCAGTTGCCGGGAAATATGTCAGCTGAATGAAGCCCCCAACTCAAGAATCAAAACAGCCACCGTGAAACCTCGGGCAGAGGAGGGACGGGGGGGAGGGCGAGAAAAACGTACACTATAAGTATTACACCCCACATTATCCGGACAGATGGAGAGATCCGCGACCTTGAGTCCCCGCACGCCGTGGACGTTCAGGCGCTCGTCGACGACTCCACCCTGCGGGGCGAGGGCGTTGCCGGCCCGCGGGGCCATGCTGCAGGTTCCGAGGGAGTGCCAGGTTGTTTCGACGTGGCGTTGGACTTTTGATGCAGATTAGTGTGGTGTCTTTTTGGGTCTTGTGGGAGTAAAGAGGTTTTGAAAAAAAAAAAAAAAAGGGGGGGGGGGGTGGAAAGGGACACAAAGCGAGGAACAAAAACGCACCCCATTTCTCAATATGCTCGATATCCTTGGCCGTATACTTGAGCTCGTCCCGGGTGTCCTGCTTGTTGGAGTTGAGGAAGGTGGTCGTCGGCGAGGTACCGGGTTCCAGGGGGGCGGACCAGGAGCCTGTTTTTTGGTTCGGGGTGTTTTAGTATTCTTTAAGCTTTGTGGTGGAAGGGGTTTATATATGCCAAGAAGGGGGGGGGGGGAGCGGCTGCTTACCGTGCTGAATCCCCGCGGTGAGGTGGTTGGGCCCCGCGTAGGCCTTGGTGGTGGCGAGGTCAAGGTCGAAGGCGCGCGCCGGCGAGTCGTACGAGAAGTGCGGGTGCATGCCCGTGACCTCGCCGGCGTAGGCGTGCATGCGGCGCGCGGTCTCCCGGGACTTGATGTAGCCCCAGACCATGGGGGCCATGTCGCGTTTGTCGTTCATGAAGCCGGCGTCGAAGTCGGGGCTTTCGTAGGGGTCTGCGGATTGGATGTGCGTGAAGCCCCGGGAGAAGGGGTATTCCTGATTGATCCCAGACGAGTGAGCATGATGGGTTGGGTGGTGGCTGCATGTACGGGGTGGATTGGTAGGTAGGTAGGGCAGTTGACTTACCAGGAAGTGGAACATGGTGAAGAACTTGCCAGGGGGCATGAGCATGTGGTCGCCGAACCAGCTGAAGGGGATCGATCGTTAGATAGGGAGGCAAAGAGAGATTGAGGCCGGGGGGAGAACTCACCCAGCGATGACGGAGTAATGCATCACAGGCTTATCGGGCTTGTTCTTGAAGTAGCTCTCCCAGCCCTTGTAGAAGTCGTTGGTCGGCCAGGTCTTCATCTCCTCCAGTTCCTTCGGGGTGGGCCGGATCTTCACGCCGGCTTCGATGCCGTTCGTCGCCAGCGGGCCGGTGCCCTTGATGTTCCATTCGTCGAAGACTTTCTTCTGGACTTCGGGGTCTCCGCGCACGAAATCATCGAAGGACTCGACGTCCGGCTTGGCTCGGTAGACCGAGAAGGTCAGGTAGTGGTCTTGGAAGTTGCGGCCAACACCCGGTAGGTTCACCAGGGGCTCGACGCCAGCCCGGCGAAGCTTCTCGGGGTCCCCGACGCCCGACCGCTGGAGAATGAGCGGGGAGCTGAGGGTGCCACCGCAGACGATTATCTGCTTGCGGGCCTTGAAGACCCTCCGCGGTGGGTTGTGGCCTGCCAACGGCTTGGTTGGAACCGTTGCGACTCCGACTGCGCGGCCGTTCTCAATGATAACCTTGTCAATCTTGGTGTTGCACTTGAGGTGTAGGTTCGAGTACTGGGATCGGGTGCTGTGGACATAAGCGTGGGCGGAGTCGCTGCGCCGTCCTGGTGAAGATTGTCATTAGCATCGGTATAATGGATCAAAGGCGGAAAAGACTCGTACCGGTATCACGGTTGATCCATTTCAACCAATGTTCGGCTCCGTGGCTGAGCAAGCAAAGTTAGTATCAGACTCCGATATACGGTGCTAGCTACTGACCCAGTCTTCAAGTCCTGCAAGTCATCAGTAATAGGGATATCCTGCGACTCGGCCGCTCGGAGGAAGTCCTGCATGATCGGGTAGGTGTAATTTCCGAACGAGACCTTGATGGGCCCTTCGAAGCCATGGATGTCGCGGTTGTTGCACGCACGTTGGTAGGTCTCGTGCTTTCTCATCAAGGGCAGGAGTTCGTCGGTCTTCCAGCCGGCAGATTCCCAGTCGTCGTAGTCGGAAGCAGATGCACGGGTGTACATCTAGAATAGCAATCAGCCATGACGGATGTTAACTGTCAACAATGAGGTATGCATACCATGAAGTTGATGGAGCTACCACCCCCAAGAACATGAGCACATGGCACGACGGCGCGACGTCCATCGAGCCATTCCGAAGGCCGGGAATAGTAGAACGAGGCTGTCTTAGAGTCCAGCTTCATGTTGCGGGGATAAATTCCCGGGCGGTAAACCCTAAGACACGGTTGGTAGTGCTCTGACCACAAATAGGGGGAGAACTTACCATGGGTTGTTCAGATTGTCCTCGCCGGCTTCAATCAGCAGGACCTGAAGATTGTGGTCCAGGTTGGCGAGGCGGCCGGCCACCACACACCCAGTGCTTCCACCGCCACAGACGATAATATCATATTCATCGGGAATGGTCATGGCTGCGATGCGATGCAGTGCTTTCTGGAAAGTATAAAGTGCTCCCCGGTTATGGAACAGAGATGAGACTCAATCCCTGGCGGCCTTCGATGCTCATCGAGTTTATATAGCCCACACCCCGCCTCCACTGAAATCTGTCAGTCGTCATGACTAGACACGATAGGGCAAGAATGTCACAACAAACGAAGTCTGTCTCCGCACGAATCGTCCATGACCCCGCATACGACTCCTTGACCCTCCATGGTCAAGACAGGCATTGACCGCTCGCGGCCAATCAGTATGTCGCCCGAGTCAGGGTACTGCTATAGTAGACGAGGGTTATCAGCTTGGATGACTCTTGGATGACTTGGTTGAGAAGAGAAAGCTAGGGTATGTAGCTGGAAACAAAGAGCTTCCCCGCATAAAGAGAGGGGGCGATGCATTCATCATGCAGTAAGTGGCCCAGGGATACGATTAGGCAAGGGCATATAGTATGGGAGTGATAGTATGGAACATCATGAAACCGGAACGCGCAGGCACCGGTCAGACTTATATTATCTAAGATAATCCATTAAAAACCGTCTTTGTCTTCTTCAATGAGAACAAACGCAAACGGAAGGCAGGAGAGCACAAGCTTATGACTGGAAATGTCAACCTAGACAATACTCCAACCAGCAAGATTCCATTGCGATTGCAATGAAGTTGAAAAAACAGCTAGACAGCTGTGGGAGGTATAAGTGCAGTAGCCGACGATGTGCCGGAAGGATTGGCACGAAGGATTTTGCGGGGGAGCAGTGGACGGGAAAATAGCCATGGCAGAAGGTAGTGCAGATCAATCCCTGACAATAGTGGGGGGTTTTAAGCGGAGCTCGTGTTGTGGGTTGCTTTGAGCTGACAGGCTGATATCATGGATCGAAGTTCCAGACGCCGGAAGTGTTCGAGGTGGTGGAGGTGAGGTACAGTAAGAACTGTAGTGCGGGGATCGCCAGAACCCAGAGAGCTCTTCCCCACCTCCACCTGCAATGCATTGCCACCGTCAGTTGCTCGGCGCCAATAAATGATTTCCCCCCAATGACCCTCGGACTTAGAGCCCTGCTATTATGGTACAGGATCCGCCCTGTTTGTTGAAACTGGCTCTGTCCTCCCTCTTTTCTCATTCACGGCTGAGTATGCTCCAATGCACACGGGAGCGGAGAACCCTTCTGGAGGCCCACAGTCATTCGAGACATCAAGCAGCACCCTAGAAGAAGAAAAAAAAGTACTTTTCCCGGTCCATCCGGCCGAATCACTGCGCTGCGATAACCCCCCGCCCGGCCGTCTGCTCTTTTTCCGAAGTGATCTAAATCCCTTGAGGACGAGGGCTGTTACCGCGCGTGCTGCTGCGCCAGCTGGCGTCTCTGCTCCAGAATCTGCATGCGCAGACCCTCTGCAGCCAACTCCACATCGAGGATCGCGCCCACCCCGCGTTTCCATGTCTCCTCCAATCCTTCCAGCTCGGCTTGATTGGCTTCCTGGGCCCTCTTCCTCTCCTTGTTGACCGACTCCGCAGCCTCCTTGGTCTCGGCCAGTTCCTTCTCCAGGCCGCGGAGGATCTCTTCCAGCTGCGAGTTGCCAATTAGCCACGCGTTCTTCCCGTTCTCCTCCAGTAGCGCCAGGTTGTCGTGCCGCATGGACAGGTGGGAACTGGCCGTGTAGGCCTTCTGCAGTGTCCGGCGCCACTCCTCGAGGTCGGGGGATCCGTCCGATGCTCTGGCGGGCGGTTCGGGGGCCTCGTAGCGTGATAGGTCAATTCCACCAGTCAAAGGCGATCCGGACGCCTTGCGATCCACCTCCTGCTGCATGAGAGGGGAGAACTGGGGGTCGGGGAAAGCGGGGATAGACGGGTGGATGGTGGTCTGGAAGTCGCCCGGGAGCTCTGCGGCAATGAGCTTCTCCGCCGCTTCTCTGGCTGAAGTTGAGGGCTCTGCCTCGATATCTATGAGGAAGATTTACGCGTGTCAGAAGGAGAATTCTCTGGAGCTCTGGGGAGGTAACTCACATGGCAGGGAGTCGTGCGATTCGTTGATGAGAGGCATTTCTGATGCTTGTGTCGAACCTCTTATAAAAGATGTCAATTACGCCCTGAATGAGACTTTAAAAGGTGTAAGTAAGGATGAATGCGATAAGCAAATGTCTCCAAAGTGTACTTGATGGACGACTTGCCGGGGGCTTTTGGCCAAGCCAAGCACAAGGGCGGTAGAAATACCGAGATGACTCAGCAGGTTTCTGCCCAGGCCCTCCGGGGAAGGGGGGGGGGGGGGGGGGGGGGGAGAGCACAAAGGTGCGTGTCCTAAGCGATTCCCCGAACTAACAATATCCTCACTCTTGTTGCAGATATCTTCCTTGTGGATTTCTCTGGGTTCGTATTTGAGCTCTTGGGCGGGCACGCGGAAGGATGTCTCTTCAAGGTAGAGGAAGAGGGCCAGACGCTTAGTCTATGCTTGTCTTTTGTATTCACAACACAGGATATTGACCATCAACTGATATTAGTATCCTGCAAATGGGACAGGACATATACCCCCTAAACATTCATATGGCTTCCACTGGTCTTGGAATTTTCCTCCCCTCGATCTGTGTATGGCAGGTTTTTCTAACAAGGTAGATTCTATGGGTGCGTCTAAAGGAGAGTGCACTTGTTTTTGTCTATCTCAGCAAAACAAGATGTCTACTCTCATTCCCGTCCTTGCTCTACACCTGTTGCACGCGGTAGCTGAGCAGGAAACCTCGGCGCAGTCGCTCTCAAAGCGTACCCTTCATGAGTACTCTCGTGTGGCCCACTAGTCGCTTGCCAAGACCTTCTCCATAACATACGGCTACACTGAGGACCCGTTCTGGTGGGAGGTGGTCATTCTCAAATCTCACGGTGGTTTGGCATTCGACCACCAGTGGTATGGGTGTCAAGTTGGTCGGTAGTCGGGAGGATTTGCAGTCAATTCTGCCGACATGATTCCCCTCTCCTGCTATTGTAATGAATCAGCCTAAGAATGCAGGATATGTTCTGGTCATGAGTAAAATTAACATGGATTTCGGTCAGGCTTAGTGGCGTATCACTTGCCACAATAACAATGCGAGCGTCTCCAGTAGGGGTGCGTGACACCTTTATAGGAGCCTCCACGCAACAGCCATCATTGAACGAGCAATTCTGCCCCAGATCCACCACGTCAGCAGCAATTGCAAAGGCTAAGAGCGCGTCTTACCCGGCTGAAAATCGTCGCAAGTTCCTTCTGGCTCTCCCAGGCTAGATAGTAGTTTTTCCAAACTTTGAAATTGAATCTAGCTACCCCGCGGATACCGCACATTGTACCACCAAGGGAAACCGCTTGCACCCGAACATCTCTATAAACTCTCGGTAAGCTCATTCAAGCCTTACTCTCTCCCGAATCCCGTGATCAATTTCATCTATACTTGTGTGAAGCCATGGTCAATAAATTGATCTTCACCCGGTTTCTCGGAAGGCCATTCTGGTTCCTGGATGGGAAACTGGATGAAAACGATGAGACTGGAGATCCGTCGTTCGCTGAGCGACTCCACTATCTGTATCAAAGATACCACGAAGGTAAGTTGTTTCCGCCCGTTCTCTCTCTTCGACCGATGATGGATGGATTCCGACAAGGACGCTTGTCATCCTTGGTCCTTTTAGCAAGTCCTGTGAACGCGGTTTGGTCGAGGATGGTCACCCTCGGCCTGGCCAACCTGAAGGAAGACTTGTCGCCCAGGGATCCTCGTGACAACCCTCCTTATGTTTTCGGGGATGAAAATCGAAAGCGACAGGCGAACATAGCAGAGAATCTGGCGGATCATCTTCTAGAGGACAGCCTGTTTCAGCTATTTCTTGATGAATTGGCCGGTGCGGAAGAGGATACGAGGCGTCGTAGGCTGATCGGGGTTCTCCAAGCCGGTGCGCAGTATCTCACAGCGCATGAGTTGGCATTGGGAGGACAATTAAAGGTTCATCGACTGCCCGAGTTGAAGCAGTTTGACCCAGCTACAGGAATTATGTTCTCGGGTCGGGTCCATCAAAAGGAGCGGAAGAATACTCCGCCCTTGGTTCCCAAGCCTCACGGCCGGGTGATCCTCGTTCTACGACCTGGGGTATACCGATACGATCTTCCCAACCAATTTGTGCCGTACGATCGTCACATCAGTGCTGCTGAATTGAAGAGGGATACTGACTCCTACCTGGTTTGCAAAGCTGAGGTTATGGTGGAAGCAGTCAAGGCCAGCAACCCATCTGATGCAAGTCAGCCCGAACCCCAGGATGAGGATGTCTGGTTCCAACGCGGTTGGGGCTAAGAACTCTCATCCCCTCCCGGGGCTCTGATCGGTCTATCCATTCGCTCTGGCGGGTTTTGCTTTCGAAAATCGTTCTTCTATATCATTTCTCGTTCTTCCGGATCGAGAGCTTTATGCGTGCGAGAATATTTCTATCGCGATGTCTACAAACAAATATGTCAATCGCCCAACCACTTTCCGTAATTCGTGGCAGTGAAACTCTCCTGTAGCCTCCTGGCAACATCAAAGCCGGTTCATGGGCTTTTCGCTGGCGCCTTGAGTGTCCAGCTAGTCGTCCCTATTCCGACGGGATTCGCTCGGCCACAATTGTGGGCGGTCGGAAGTTATTCAGGTTGGTAGGTCACTGTGCTGCTGGATGTACTGTGTAAAATGTGAAGACTGGCGCTGGTGGAAGACTCGAGGTCCACTGGGAGAGGGTAGAGTAGGCTGTTTGTAGTGAAGTCAGTCCGTCAGCTGTCCGCTACCCATCCCCATGATGTCCACCGGTGGGTGACTACCACTCTGGCTCCGGCTCCTCATCGGAGGAGACCAAGGCCAGTACCAGCCTGGCAGCCTCTATCCCCCGGAGATTCCATCGCCGCGGTGCCGTGCGGTCCATCCATTCGGACCAGTCCCCCCAAGCCGCCGACCGGAGGATCTGCGCGTACTCCCAGTATTCCGGATACCAGCCCGCGTGCTCCCAGTCCAGAAGCCCCGTGATCCGGTTGTTCGCATCGACCATGATGTTGCGGGGCGCGATGTCCGCGTGGGTGAAGACGGTGCGCCCGGACCGGGGCAGCATCCTCGATAGATCCTCAGCTGCATACTGATAGCCGCCGAAGTGCTGGTAGCGCTCACAGATGCGGGCCCGCAGCTCGGCATCACTCCGCAGGGCGCGGGGAGGGTCCTGCAGATCTTCGAAGAAGGTATCGCGGGGAACGGAGCCGTCGACGCCGCACCGGACAATGTCTTCAAGCTCCGGTGGCCGCGGAATCGCCTGGATCTCTGTGATGAGCTGCCACGTTTGTCGGCAGACGGCCTCCTTGCCCCGTTCGTCCAACGTATCCCATCTTCCGTCGAGCGAGGTTCCCGGTACGATCGTCATCTCGATATTGCCGTAGCCGGCACTGCATGCGGTGTGGATCACGTGGGGCACCGGGACGGCTGTATGTTGAGACACGAGTCGCATCGCCTCGACCTCGGCGCGTCCCACGTTGAAGCCAGCCTTGGAGACATACGACAAGTCGTGCAGGAGTACCGTGTTGCCCCAGAGGTCCCTGCTTAGAACTGTGAAGATTTCCTGGTTGGGTCTGAGGGCTAAGATATCTGCCACTGAGGGAGTTGAGCAGGGAGATATGGTCCGTCCCGTTCGCTTATAATGCTGTCCAACCTGGATGTTATGCATACTTGGGAGCCCAGTTAATCTCAAGGTATAGAGAATGACGACGCAGCGATTAAGAGAATTCGAGCAAGGTACTTAGTGAGGGTGGGTTCAGATTGATGGCCACCGATAGCCAAGTGAAAAGTGACTTAAGCGACCACGCTGACCGTGAGAGCATCGATACCCACAGAGTCAACAGATGTGAGCTTGAGTGCTTTGCTTTCGCATCCCTTCACCTTCACCTCTCTTTGATTTCTTCGTTTTCAATGATCTGGTGTTAATTTACTATACTGAGCTTGGACAGCTTCGCACCTTGCGCCCGGACGGGTCCGGGCCTTACTTCATTGTTCGTCAGCCTTCTCTCGCTGATATACTCATATTCAACCATTTAGTGAGCCAGATATCGGTATCTAATCTCCATAAGTGATTCACTAAGAGATAGAAATCACGCCTGTCACCAAAGTCAGGTTAAAGAAAGAAGGATGTGCCAAGTCAATGGCTGTCGCGTTCAAAACGTCCTTATTAAACAATGCCCTCAGAGCACCCAAAAAGGGCCATGCATGCAGCCCACTGCATCCTCCCTATCTCCCAAAGACCTGATCTATCGCACAACAGTCTCCAGCGCTGAAGCACCTGGTCAGATCTTTTCCCGAGCCCCAAGCATAGCCTGTCACTGAGAACCATCAAGGGCCGGGATATTTGTCTGCTGGTGAAGTCAACCAAGCGACAGTCTGTCCTTGCCCGAAGGTCGCGATGTTGCTACCAGAAGAATTGTATTCGCATCCGGTCTTTCACCTTGACTGGCTCGGCTCATATGAATCCCATTCTCAATCAAGAGGTCCTGAGTCGGTGCTCCGGGGCCCCGTCACAATGCAATGTTCCTAAGTTGTACGGGGGTACCTGATAAGTCTTATACCCTTTCCCTAGGTCTGCCGGGCGATGGTTAGTTTGGTGGTCTGTTCCACGTAGTAGTAACATGAAGGGAGAAACGATCATGCTATACGGGGATGTACTGACGAGCATAATACTACAATTGGGAAAAGTAGTAAGATTCTGGTACAGCAGCAACGCCTTCTATCCTACGGAGCTGGAGTCAAAGCCGACCCCATAGGCTGTGCTTCGCCACCATGAACCGTTACTAGCCAGAGCATCGTTTACCACTCGCAGTAACGGTGGAGGCGCCCCGTCACGTGCAGATGTGCAGTACATGCAGAATGTGTTTCACCCTGGGAACGGGAGTAGAGAGGAACATTGTGATACTGGCAGTCAGGAATTGCAGGATACTGTCGAGAAGGCTGCCGGTCTTTTGTAAATTGGATCGATGGTTTGGATTATTATTTGTACTAATTCTTCTTCGCCAAGAGAATATACATGATTCAGTCAGTGGATCTGAACAGACGCTCTCTACCATGTACAGGGAATTATCGGTTGATGAACAATACCGCCCGGGTTGATCAGTAAACAGGGGGAAAGAAAAGGAGGAACGTGTATAATACAAAGAGATTGTGCGGCCAAGGATGTATGAACTCGACCGGAGATGCGCCAGATCGTAAGTATTGAGCAGGGGAATCGAAAATTATAAGTGGTATCAAGAGAACTCGAGGTTTCCTCGTGATGTGCCAGATTCACTGGGAGATCACCAGGCTCATCCTGTTTGATGAGACAGAGAAAGTAATGAGAAAAAGAAGATCGTCCGCCCGTAAGAGTCCGTAAACGCCGTTTCTGCGTAGGTGCATGCTCCTATCGCATGCTGTATTGTAACCAACAATGCTTGGGGGGGGAAGAATCAAAATAGCCGCTTGACATCGACAATCTCGACATTTCCCGGGCGGTCTCGTTCCATATGGAACCACCATTCTCGTCCACTTCGGTGACTGTAGTTCCACGACCCAGTGCAAGCATCGCGATCCCAGGGAAGTGCTGCTATCGACATTGGCGTGGACGGGGTTATAGGCGTATTCGGACTCGTACCCAGCGCGGAACGGCTTCCGATGCTCCCCCATCCAAATCGTGAAGTAGTAGTCGAGGTCGGGGATGGTGGCTCCTCAGCCAGCGGCTTGGGGTGTCCCTTGACCCCAAAGCAGTCCGCCCCAACTCCAGCAGCGTATGTCAGGGATTGATTAGAAGCGTGTACGTTCTTCCACGAAACCAGACCCCCATCTCCATCCTGCCCAGGTATATCCGGTCGAAGAGCAAACCGCGGGATCGAAACGTCCTGTGCACTGGTCCTGGAACCAATTCTGCCCATATATGCCGGCATATGGAAATCGTACACAACAGCCGGTCCCTCATGCTCATCCGTCTCGACATCGTGGTTGTGCCGCTCGCGTCCCACGCCGCCGATGTCAAATTCGTCCATTCCAAGATCAGATTCATCATCGGAAGACTCGTCTTCGAGTGCGTTGTCCGGTACATAGGAGTCTGAATGGTCGGTGACGAGGAATCTCATCCCATGTTCCGTATCCTTGGCAGCCATGTCAATGAATGTTTGGGCTCGGATGCGAGCAGAAGTCAAGTTGTTTCCTGCGGGCAATGCCATTGGACGGGTTGTGACTGAACCATGGGAGCTGCGGGGAAGACTATAACGATCGGGTTTGAGCAGCGCCTGTCCACGTGGCATAGGCTGGCACACAGCCTGCAGGACCCCGGGAGGTTCTATGTCTGATGGCGCACGCAGAGCCTCGAGACGAGGAAACCCGCTAGCAAGAATGCTTTGAGCAAGATGTGAGTTTGGTGAATCCGTATGCCGGGGTGGTTTGATGAACGGGACGTAGTCGAGTCTGCCCAAGGCAGCACCGGAGTCGGGGCCGGAAACATCCCAGTGAAGATATTCGAGACTTGATGAGGCCAGAAGCGGCTGGAAAATGATACCGTCGGTATTCAGCGTCGGGCATTTATTGCTTTGAACGAAAGTGAAGCGTTCAAGCTGCCCGAGAGATGCTAGCATTTTTGAGATCACCAGGAGCGAGTCGATGTTTTGTTCAATAAGAGCGAGAGATTTAAGGGAGCTAGACTCGGGCTGCGATGCGTACTGGCAGAGGCCCGTGTCGGTGACTCCCGGGAGATTTTCCAGGCGGAGCGATTCCAGCGGTGGTAGGCATTGCAAGGTGCTGTCGTTGAAGGCGTCTGCGTCGAAATTGGAGATGCAGAGGTTTCGCAACGAAGGGAGCTCACTGCACATGCGAAGGAAGATACTTGGCTCTAAGGAGTTTTTCTCATCGAGCCCGTAAAGCATCAGAGTTTCCAAGGATGTCCACTGCGCATGATAGTCGAGGAACTCGAACATTTGTGATGGGCCCAAGCTCCAGGGGCAGTATGTACTTCGAGGCGATCTCTCAGTTATCGCCGCAGCCTCTCCCAAGATCCACGTGTGCTCCTTCAGCTTTCGCCGCGTCGATAACGCATGTGTCAGGCGGTCAAATTCGTGATGGTAAGGAATGGTCAAGCCCAGCAGCCGTTCCAGGTTCGGGCAGACCATGACCACGGATGCGACCAAATCCCGATATTCCTGCCATTGGGTGCTGTGTCGGATTGTTGTGAATAGCAGGTCTAGTTGGGGTACTCGAAGCTCTAGAACAAGATTGGCCAGCAATTTCCTCTCCCGGAGGGTTCGCCGTAATAGCTTGAGGCGACTTCCGCGCTTCAATCGATATTTCTTCAATTGGTTCGGTGAATCGTTCCCCATGATGTGTATGCGGTTGTACCTAAGATGGGAGGATCTGTTAGCTCCAATGT